AGAAACAACCTAAGTCAAACTTAGTGTTAGCCCTGTAATGAACAACCTAAGTCAAACTTAGTGTTAGCCCTGTAATGATTTCCACACAAAAAAGTTACGTTTGCAAACATCTTTTAATACTTACGCAACCATAGTTTTCATTACACCTTTCCTTCCAATTGTTACATCTTAATAGAAGTAATAAAAACAAATATTCCCTTGGGTAGCTGCTTTAAATTGCATAAAATACATTGAAAGATTCTACGAGACAAACTATCACAATATGATTATAATGATAAGAGTTTCTAGTAAAAAAAACAAATAATAAAAGAATAGAGTTGTATCTTAAGGGAGAGTCATCTGAAGTCATAATTATTCATGTTATAATCTATTTCCTAAAGAGAGGTTGAAATGTCACTTGTGATAAAAGGCTTTGCAATGTAATAATTCCTCCATTATCAAAGGCTCTTTAAGGAAGTAAAACAACCATATAACATTAAAGTACTTGTAAACTGACTCCTTTTAACTTCAGAGTGACCATTTCACTCTGAAACAAAGAGATACAGTTGCAGTTAATACTGTTTCTAGCCTGACTATAGAGCCTTCAAGCTTTATAATGTTCTTAGGTAGAAATATAGCCAAAATTACAAACCACTGCCTAATATACATATCAGAACTTATCACCTCACCACATCAGCTGGACACTGACAGTTATATATTATAATGGAAAATTAAACGTTGTTAAATTTTACTTGAAAACTTTACCATGCACCCAGAGCTTCATGGCATGGTGCTGATGGGGGATTTACTGAATCCTCGCTCCCTGGATATATTTCAAATTATTGAAGAAAGAAACAAAGAAAATAGGGAAGAAAAGAAAGGAAGAAAGAAAGAGACAAAGAAACAAGGAAAGAAAGAAAGAAAGAAAGAAAGAAAGAAAGAAAGAAAGAAAGAAAGGAAGGAAGAAAGAAAGAGAGAGAGAGAAAGAGAGAGGGAGAGAGAGAGAGAGAGAGGCCCAATGAACGCATTCTTTCTCTTAAACCCAGAAATGTTATCCCTCCTTGCAGATATGAATGTATGTGAACCTTTGAGCTTCAGGTCTCCGTCTCCTGCTCTTTGGGGAGTCAATCCCTCCGCTATCCTCCAGCCTCCAGGCAGCAGCCACTTTCCTTATGCTTTTCAGAAATTGAATGGTTAGCACAGAGTGCACAGAAACAGGAATACAAATTCAAACAGAACTGGCTGTTTGCTTATTGGAAACTCTTCTAGTTTAAATATTTAGAGAAAAGCAGAAGCAGCAGAAATTTAAATGGTTTGAGGATTATCTATACACTTCAGGTTCTATTAAAGCATGACTTATAATTTCCTAAAGCATTACAGCAGATGAACAGAGGCGTAAGTAATACGCGACAATCTCTCCCTTCACAAAGGGCTAGTGTCCTTTAACAACTGCAGGAAATATTTCTCACATCCAGATGTTTCCTGTACAGCCAATTCAAGCAACCTGTCAACGTGATGTGGTCCAAGTTAAAATGAACCCTGGATAATTTGATCAAAACCAGAAGCACTGCACCATTCTGTGGGCAATGCTCATCTCGGTGCTTCGGTGGGAAGGAGCTAGCTGCACATGGTTGCTCTGTATGTAATCAGAAGGTTTTCTGGCTGTGTCGAGGTAAGGTCACGGGAGATATTAGCAAATGAAATGATTCGAAGTTTGAAATCGCAAAATGATTCCATGAGTTACAAGGGAAGTGGAAAGTCAAGCAACGGATGGCCCATGCACAGGGCCTGTCCTAACAAAGATACGCAAATCAACAAACTGCTCAATTATATATGAAATTAAATCAATTATTCAAGTCTCATCTATCTGTTGGATATCCAATATTGGTCCTTCTCATTTCCTTCAGATCTTGGTCATTTTACTTTTCATTAACAGACAAAGAGGGTAAACAGAAAACAGAGATAACACTCCAATCCTCCAACTTAATATTTGGTAGCATTAATTAAAAATCTAGATCAAGTGACAACCCTGCAAGTTGTAACCGTGGAGTGAGTCTTCATTGTTTGTACAGCTTTCATCTCTCCTGTGCACAGAAAATTAATGGCTGCTTTGTCTGGGCCCGCTGCAGGACAGTGCTGTGGACACCTAAGAAAGGAGAGCACGGGAGGATAGACACAAAGACCAACCAACCGACTCCAAGGAAGACAATGCTACTTGCAGCAACACAGACAGCTTCAGACTTCAACTGTTACAACCCGTAAAAGGAAGAGAACATTCAACTTGATCCTTTTTGTAAAACATTTCTGTATCAATTAATCTTCCCTTTAGACTCTATGTAGATGATATTTACGAACTGCTGTCTACAGTAAAGCAAGTGTCCAAGTATTCAATGCCCCTATTATGAGAAATACAAAACAAAGGCTCACAGACCTGAAGAACTACAAGAAATGCCATCACTCAAAACAAGAATTGTCTTAACATCTTTTGTTGTCCAGTTCTTCTGTGTGTCTGAATAGAGACAGAGCCATGAGGGGTGTCCTGTGTGACCCATTCAAACACAGCATAGAGCATTGTGCTGTGGCACTCAGGCTTTGGGGCCAGGAAGAGAACACCAAGCTGAAATTTGCTAACCACTAGCTGAACAGCTGGAAAAAAAATCTCAGTTACTAGATTTGTGGGGGGGGGGCGAATATATTCTTTAAAGGTTCAGTGAGATTGACTCCTAGACAAGTGTATGATCCTAGTTTTTACACAATTATTTCCCCCTAAAAATACCTGCTCAAGTGGCAATGAACTCTGTTTGCTTTTGTCAAACACCTAAATAAACCCCATATGACAAGGAGAAATTTTCTGTGATATTATGTCCCTAAATATAAATGTTCATCAGACTCATTCATTCACACAAACACACATGAGAGACAGACAGACGGAGAGAGAAAAAGAGAGAGAGAGAGGGAGAGAGAGAGACAGACAGACAGAGAGACAGAGGCACAGAGACACAGAGAGACTGTTGAACCATCTGGAAGCTAAGTGTGATTAGTCAATTCCTCAAAGTACCTGGAAGAAACATGATTATGAGATATAAAACTTTTCCTTAGGTTTAAAATGACTGGATTTTCTTAGTGCCAAAATCTTCCTTGTAAGCCTCTCTTTAACTAAACACAGGGAAACAAAACAAGATTAACTTCACATCAAGCTGACCTCGAACTTGGGATGCTCAGCAGCCTACCTGTGCTTTCACAGGGCTGTCTTTATCTGTGTGCTCCCACACCTAGCTCTGGACTGGTTGCTGTTTTTTCTAAGCATGAAACACTAGCTACTAGAAGAAGTTCTGAGGTGTTGCCTGATGCCTGCACGTTACACCCAAGGACAGAGTGGAAAACAGCCTCAGGTGGGCCTCTTCTTTTTCCACCACTTGATGTCTCCATGGTCTTCAGATCATCAAATACAAAACCTTTCGATCAGAGTAGAGAGGCAGAAATCTAGACCTCAGAAACTGCTTCTGTCATCCTGTAGAAGGCTTGCAGCCCAGATGCCTCTAGGAAACCATTCAATGCTCGAGCCGGGAAGTGAAAACTATGCCAAGTCTTTGAGATCTTGTGTTTAGTTAAAAAATCTTAGAGAATATATTTTTAGATTTAGTATTCCAGCACAATAAGAAAATTCTTGCCAAATGTACTCCATGAGTGCAAACTGAAATGGAGGAAACAATTGTAAGAGACAATTTCCTTCACGGATAATCATTCTAATATACTACTCTTTGATCTAAAGGTAACTGATGCCAAGTTTGGTGGCCACACTTATAATCACAGAGGCCAAGGGCAAAGGTTTGCTATGAGTTCAAAGGCAACATGGGCCCGCTTGCCCAGAGGCAGAACCTGTCTCAAGAAACAAACGAAAACAGAATAAAACAAAATGTTAATCCATATGCCACCTGCAATTTTCTACTGTAACAAATGGAGAGTGACTCCTCACTATCCCACAAACACATGAAAAATTAATATATATTTGGCTTAAAACATGCTAAATTCAATACACACAGGAAAGACCTGAATGTCCCCTCATTAATCTCTTTCTATGTTCAAGATGAAAGAAAAATAGAGTCTACATAAATAATACATTCAAATGAGCAAAGGTTGAGGGTATGAAATCTTACTGTGCTTGTATCAGCTGACATAAAGAATATTTATTTTATCTGAGTATTTACACGTTTATGAAGTATGAAATACTACAAGTAAGTTGTTGATGAATCTTTTGACATGCCAATATGAAATGTATGCACGTTGTGAATGTGTTTGCAATAAAGTGTGCTGTCCCAGAGTATCAGCGTGCACTTGGCACTGACACTAGAAACAGCCCAGCATCTGTGTCTCATTATAGAACAGAAGGGTTCCAGAGAGGCGCGTTCACTTGGGGGTTAGTGTCGACTCATTCGCTTGATCACCTACAGAGCTCCGGATGTAAGATCACTCCAGTGTGTACCTGTGCCATGGGACATGCAGCGCTGGAAACGCTTTGCTCTGCACTGTGTTAGCACAGATCACTGTGAGCACATTCAAAAAACTTTCTCTTCTTGGGGTGAGGGGGAAAACCTCTGGAAAGCCTCAGACATCTTCACTGTTTTTCTGTCTATGTTTGTGTATGTGTGTGTGTTTTCATTTAAATGTTTTACTGATTTTTCCAAGAAAAAAAAAGTATTACTACTTTAGAACATTTGGAAATGATTAAAAAATATAAAGCAGAAAGACTATCTACTCCAACAATACAGCCATTATTTATATGAGTTCTTTGAAAGCTTGGTCCTAGGAAGTTTTTTTTCAATAGTGTGTTAAAAGTTAAGGCTGATTTGCTTCCACAGTGTTCACAAACATCATGAGAATAGCAGGTCCAAATGGCACGTCTTTTCTACGAGGTTGAATTTCAGCTTGATGTAGGTGACACCTTCCCTAGGAAATGGCAAAGATCCTGTGACACAGGAGCAGCCTGTGAGAAGTGTGGGGAGAAGAGCAGTTGTTCCTACCTCATCGTCATCAGCATCATACTGGGCATAGTGCCTCTCCAGCAGCTCTCTCTGCCGCCTCTCCTGTTCCAGGGTCTGGCTGATCAATTGGGCAACCTCACTCACTTGTCCTGGTTTTTCTCTTCCAATAACGAATCTGTGGAAAGGTTAACAGAAACTAATATAGTACAGTCACAACAGCTGATGAAAGTGGTCACACTCAAGCATGCAGCAGGCTACTTAGACTAAGAAATACTATGACCCATGTGTGTGACACAGATTAGGGATGACAGGATTATTCAGCTAGGGAAGTGACTTTACACACACAGCTAACAAAGTAGAAGAAGAGTAGCAATAAAGTACCATCCATGAAGAAATAACACACTCAGGAAAGTCGAGATAGATGTAATACAGTCCACAATAAGTCACACAATTGATGACTTAAGAAAAGGAAGCCAGAACATTATTTCCAGTACTCGATGACCTAAAACATTTCTAGAACAATGTCCCATAATACTGAAAAAAAAAAAAACCAACACAAAACCAAAAACCCTGCCTGAAAAACATTTTGCTGTAGACCCAATGTTAGGTGGCTAATGGATAAATCTGACTGTTGATAAGTTACAAAGGCCTTTGTCACAAGCAGGAGAAATAGAAGAGCTTTGGTGTGTGTCTGTGTGAGTGTGAGTGAGTGAGTGTGTGGGTTTGTGTGTGTATGTTGAGTGGATGTGTGCTGGTGTGTATGTGTGTGTGCATTAAAAAGAGGGTAACTCAAGAACTGACATTAATCTTACAAGACACTGAGTTAAGAAAAAGAAACTGGAAAAACATTAACTTTCTGTAAGCCATGTTGTCTATGATCAGCCCTTGTCAGTAGAATGTGGTTTATTTAACATTACTTTCATATTAATGTATGATTCTATTTCTCTAAAAATGCAACTAATGTCTAACATATATGGTATTTAAATATGAGTATCATTACTTGAAGTGTCACACTTAGTCTTTTCTACACTTAATTGATAAGCGTCCCTAATTATAGGATGTAGTTTGAGTCAACCTTAAATAACACAGGTGAGCATTTTCTGCATAAGGACACTGAAGATCAAAACTTCTGGTCTTAATTAGTTGTCTCTTCCAAATGCTTTCCCATGGTTTCAAAGAAGACTTAGCTTAGTCATAAGCTCAGTAGTTCATTACTTCATTTACTGCTGGCAGTCAGGTGTAAGTAGGAGCCTACATGTTTTCTCTGTTAGATATAATTCATAGAGGAAGATACAACTATTTGAAATGGTTGATCCAATAAAAATGACAACACATAGGCCTGTGATCACTCTATCAATGAAAATACAGGGGCCAGCAACCAACCCGAAACATTTCCTCATACTGCTTTCCAGAAAACTTTGCCACTCTGGTTCCACATTAATCTTCTAAAGTTTCAATTAAATGGAACTGCAGTGTATAGTGAAGGTTTTACTGTGCACAATACACACTTAGCAGACATATCCTTCTATTAATAATTCTAAAATTAATATGGACTTTGGATAACATGCATCAAGTTATTACAATTATTTGTATGTGAGCTTTTATAGACTTGCTTTCGTCCTCCTTTAACGAGTTACTAATAATGGAGTTGAGTCAGAAGGTAAATGGACGTGCAACTTTTCAAACCGTTGCCACTTTGTCTTGTGAAGAACTGGGTACCATTTCCTAGTCAGCTCACAGTGCACAGGCACTGCACCTGCGGCACATCCTCACCACACCCAGTGCAGCCACCTTCTGCAGGCTCAGCCATTCTGCTGGGTGTCTGCTGAGGCCATGGCTCTCACAACAGGCTTACCACTTGTATCTCTTTCAGGATTTTTTTTTCAAACATGTTGTCCATTTATAAATGTGAGATCTTTATTTCTATGATTAAGGTGACACGACTCAATATGTCCTGGTACATGTTATTGTCTACAAGTATGTGTACGCATAAAAGGCTTACATGTATACTTATGTGTTAAATCTAGTATCATCTCCCAGTTTGTTTTCCCATCTCAGCTTTTCAAATTATGTCTATGGTGTTTTCAAACAGCCGTCGGTGTCTGTTTCAACAGATGACCGTCTACCATACCATGGGAAAGAAATGAATTCAGACTTGCAATGTGATGAAGTTGTCAAGGCTTCCCAGTGACTATTTGTCAACACAATAATAAACACGCAACTGCTCATGGTGTACTGAGTAGCTTTCAATGAATAAACTGCTGAATGACATAAAAATAAATTATGTCTTTCGGTCAACTCTAATTCTTAAGACTTTTTTGCCACTTTATGATTAAATGTTTCCTATTCTTCTTAAATTTCAAATTATTTCTTAAAACTAAATATGATTAAATTTTTCCTATATTTTTCTTAAATTTTAAATTGTTTCTTAAAGTGAAATTTAATTTTCCGGCATAATATGTCATAAGGCTGGTTTTCTTCTTTCCAAACAGCAAGTGATTTCAACACCATTTGTTAAAAAGACTGTTCTTTACAAATACTGAATTACTTGACTATACTGTTGCAAATTAGTTCATTCTACATTTGTGGGGTGATCTCTGGACTCTGCAGTCTGTTCCATGATGTGTTTCTAACTCTACCAATACAACCTTTCCATGGCTGTTATATAGTAAATATTGAAAGTAAGTGACAAGCGCTGGACCTCTGCTGTTTTTCCTCTGCATTTGCATGTAAACTTTCTAATCCGCCTCCCAGTTTTCCCAGAAAAACCACAGTCCACTGGGATTTGTTCTGGAGTTACTTTAACAACGCATCTGGACAATATGAGCTCATCTGATCTGTGAACACAGAACATGTCTGTCATTACTTAATTGTTACTTTCTCAGATCCAAGGTCTTAACCAATTTTTGTTTTATCTCCAAGTAGTTTATATTTTTTTAAAAAATTGTAGAATGTTGAAATATAATTGAATCATAAATACTGGTCTTGTCTTCTGCAATCTAGCTAAATCACTATTTCTATGAGTTTTCTGTAGATGTGTAAGGATTTTTCTAAGTAAGACTGTATCCTCCATGAACATATTTGACTTTGTCTTCATTAGAGTTTTATTGCCGTGAAGCGATACCATGACCAAGGCAACTCTTATAAAGGAAAATATTTAATTGGGGCTGGCTTACAGTTTCTGAGGTTCAGTCCATTATCATCATGGTGGAAGGCATGGCAGCATCCAGGCAGACATGGTGCTGGAGGAGCTGAGAGTTCTATATGTTGATCAGAAGCCAGCCAGGAGGGGACTGCCTTCTGTACTGGGCAGAGCTGGCACCAGGAGTTCTTAAAGCCTATGTACACAGTGACACACTTCCTCCATCAAAAGCACACCTATTCCAACCAAGCCACACCTCCTAATAGTCCCCCTTCCCATGGACCAAGCAAATTGAAACAAATGAGTCTATGGGGGCCCAACCTTCTCAAACCACCACAGACTTCTTTCCCTTTTTCTGTTTGTCTACACATGTTAAGAAAGTTTGACAGTATCTTTTCTATTTTTCCTTTTCTATTATAAGATGTGAACTCTGGATTCCCAAAAGGTACACAGGATGATTTAACTAAGAGATAATCTCTATGATAAGATAATCATTAATGTTTTAAAATAATATTGATGTGTCAATTTATTATGTTTTGGTAAATATACATTTGTCAGAAATTGGGTCTCATATATGTCTCAGACACATATAAAGAAATTTAAACATCCTAGAATAGCAGTTTTAGACACACCTAGATTGGCATTTTATGTGTGTTTTTAAACAGATTTATCTATTTTATGCGTTTGAATGCTATGTATGTGCAAATACATAGGTGGCTGGCACCATGTATGTTCTTGTTGCCTACAAAGGTCAGGGTATCAGACCCCATGGAACTGGAGTTACTGTAAATTGCATGGTTGTAAGTGATCAGGTGAGTGCTTGGAACTAAATGTCAGTCCTTTTAAGGGGCATCAACGGTTCTTAACCACTTAGCATCTATCCAGCCCCTTTTGTGTATTGTTGTTGGTTGTTTACTTGTTTTTGAGACAGGGTCTCAACTGTGCAGCTATGACTGGCTTGCAACTCACTGTATAGACTAGGCTGGCCTCAAACTCACAGAGAGCATCCCATCTCTACCCCCTAAGTGATGAGATTCGAGGTGTGTGCCACCATGCACAGATTTTTCTAAAATGTATTTTTAAATGGATAACATAGTTATGGTTTAGGGACGATCACTCATCTACTAGAAGGTGACAGAGGGACAGAGTAATTAAAAAAGACATACTAATGAATATGCAAGCTCAAAGTGAAAATAGAATTCAGATTCATTTCATTTAACCCATTGAGTTTTAATGTTTTTAAAAGTATTTGGTATGAGTACACTGTATTTACATCATTTCTGCAACTCCTTCTCTTCTTCAACGCCTATTGACTCCATGACCAATTAGGGGACTTGTTCCTTAGAGAAAATTGATTCTCCCTTCCTCAGCAACTAGTGGCTGCCTAAAGCTCCTTACTGGGGTGGGGCCTTGTGGAATTTTACTTCATTTGTATTGATCATTTAAGCCTAGAATTCTTTACCTCCCTTTGAAAATTCCATGGTCAGGTCTTGAGGAGTAAGAGTGTTTACTGAAAATGAAAAAATATTTTCTTAGGAAATTCCCTCAATGTACTTTACAGAGAAAACGAGATTCAGACCTTGTCTTTTGGTCAAATATCTGAATCTGTTGCTGCTAATTCTAAAAGTGAGTGCAGGTCTTGATAAAATCTTGTGAGATATATTACATGAATAATTGTAAAAACAACAAAAGCCTAAACGTAATATATTACAGTAATGACTTAGGTAATCACAAAGTACAATTCAAAACACTAATATATCTCTATCTTTAAAAAAAAAATCACCACTACTTCTAACCTGAATTATTTATGATAAAGCTGATATGAATGAGTCATGCACTATAAAAATTTCATAGGAAATAAAAACCACCCAACACTTTACAAGAAAGTAGCACTGTAAATCCTAAAGGCACTGTTGCTTATCAGCACAGCTTTCTGAATTCATTCGCGTAATTTAACATAATGCACTGCTTGTCTATTGATGGTTTAGATGAAGAATCACCTTAAGGTCTAATGAAATGGAAATGATTTGGAATCGTCTAAGACAGAAAATTGATCTCATAAAATGGCTTCACTTTTAAATGTGTTAAAAGTGAACACATGCCTGTTGGTTTGGGCAGCTTTTCTGAGCCACGTTAAAGGACTGTGGTTACATACATCTTTAAAGCCTGAAGGACCATGAAGCACAAATAGTAGAGATTTGTTTTAACAGAACAGGATGCTTCTAAGTATGATCCAGAGTAAAACCATGCAGAAGTGGAAACAATGTAATTCCTCTGCCTCATCTTCTTTATGTGAAAATTAGTATCTAATCTCATGTGTCTGAAGGAGTGATCAAGACTAAACTATATTACACACAAAAGAGAACTGAGATACCTAAAAACATGAGATCTACTTATAAAAAAAAGTAACACTCAGATTATCTCTCTATATGTTAACTGAGTTCATAAATATGTAAAATTAGATCATGTATACAATCTACCTACTAAATGAGAATTCAACATGAGTTGTCAAATTTAGCATGCTTATTTCAGTTATGGATTAAGGAAATAGATATTTTGGACCAGCACATTTTAAGCGTCAAAAGCATCTAGAAAAGAAAAAAAAATGGCTTTGATAATATAATTCCGCAAAAGTATAGAATCCACAGTGGTTCTATGACTTGGAATATGTCAGTGTTTCTAAGCTTTATTTCTATATTTTTTAAATGAACACAGTAGGTAACTATTATAAAATCCATATAATGAGTTCCAGCATTTGGTGCCCTGAGTGTGTCTGATACCAACTGACTGCTACTTTGAGTGGAGATTCCGCAGGATTGAATGTATTTACATGTCTACTGTGCCTACTGTCCTATGAATCACAGTTCTAAAAACAGATTTTGAGCTCAGCACAGGAAAATCAGAAACTAACTGACTTAAAGAAGTTAGATATTAGGGAAGGGTTGAATGCAGGTCATGGAAGGAGTTATTAAAACTGAAAGAAAACTAAATGTTTTTTTCTAGTTCTAACTCTGTCATGGATCTTTTTTGTTTTTGTTTTGGGTGATGGATAAGGGTATAAAATATATTTGATAGTGAAAGAATAAAATGTAGTGTGACTCTCCTCAGCTTCTGCTCTGGCTGGCTGTTCGAAGCATACAGAAGATCATTACAAGGTCGGGCAGTGGTGGCACACGCCTTTAGTCCCAGTACTTGGGAGGCAGAGGCAGGCAGATTTCTGAGTTCGAGGCCAGCCTGGTCTACAGAGTGAGTTCCAGGACAGCCAGGACTACACAGAGAAACCCTTTCTCGAAAAACAAAACAAAACAAAAAAAGAAGATCATTACAATTTACAGGGCTTTGGCTAGGGTTAATCTTGGTATGTGGTATTTTTTTGCAACATATTTATGATAAGATTTATTTTCAAACATATACTCAGGAAATCTTTGTCTCCTTTTACTAGTGATATACAAAATAGAAATCACATGAGCAGTTCGTTCATCCTGTGCAGTGATGGGGACTGTGCACAGGCCTCATGCTGGTGGGCAAACACTGCCCCTGTGCTGTAATCTGCCTTTCACGATCACTTCCAACTGAGTTTTAAAAATTCCAAACCAACTGAGTGAGCCACCTTCAGTCTTGTCCGCACATCTCATTACCTCCTTTACATCACTTCTTGCTGAAGTGAGGACAGCACATGTGTTAACAAACTGGTCTGCTCTAGACTGGAAGTTTACGGGGAAGGAAAATGTTCTTTAACACTTCTTGAATTTTTTACTTCAAAAAACGCTGGAATGGTAAGGTATGCTGATATTTAATGGTAAAGAATTGAGTAGTTGATTCAAATATGAATAAAATGAACTAAAATTTGAGGATTTTCATTATTCAGCAACAGCTTTTGTCTTAGTCACTGTTCTACCGCTGTGAAGAGATGCCATGATCAAGGCAACGCTTATAAAGGAAGTATTCAGTTGGGGCTGGCTTACACTTTCAGAGGTTCAGTCCATTGTCATCATGGTGAGAAGCATGACAGCACATGATGCTCAGGAAGGAGCTAAGAGTTCTACATCCATGTTAGTAGGTATCTTCCGTAGGAAGAGAAAGACACTAGGACTGGCTTGGGCTTTTGAAACCCCCAAAGCCCATTCCCAGTGACATACTTCCTCTGACAAGGCCAGACTTCCTAATCCCTCTCAAGGAGTGCCATTCCCTAATTTCCAAGCACTCAAGCATATGAGCCTATGGGGACCATTATTAGTCAGAGTATCACAGCTGGGATAGGATCTTCAGCATGGTCTCTTTTAGTGTTTTGAAAATGTCATTATCATGTTCCAACATGTATCACTTCCCTAGTGCTTCAGGAAAAAATATAATAAACAGGTTAATAAATCAGTTATTCTTTTTATTTTCATCTATCATGAAGCCAAGAAATGTGCCTATTTTACTCTCTGGCACTTGGATATCTATATTACAGAGCGTTCCTTTGATTCCTTTATAGAATTTCTATTGAGCTGTCAAAAAAACAAACAACATTAACATTGCATTTACAATTAGGTAGGTTGGAGTTGCAAATATCCTCGACACTCTATGTGAACAACATGAGAGGGTGAATGGAAACCGATGGTTTATAAATGCCTGGCTTTCAGAAATAAGTTCTAATTCAAATGATGGCTACTCAAAAATGAGAAATAAATCATATTAAATTTTTAAACCTTAATGTACAACTAAGCTTAAAGTGTAAAAACGGGAAAGTTGAGCCCGTTTACAGCCGTTGCTTCTTATGGAAACAATTCTTACTTTGTGTAAGAACCTGAATGTTATGTGTCGGTAAAACATAAGTAGAGGCATAGAACTGAAACCCGAGCATCGCGTTAGTGGTCACAGATCAGAGATTTAGAGAGTTTTGCAAACTGTACCTCATTTTTCCCCACTTGGTACCCTGAATGGCCTTTCTCTGAAATGATCAGCTCTTAAAATATTAACTGAAAGCTACTGAGCACGTATTGGTAACTGATAGCCACCCCTCTCAGCAAAGCTGGTGGATATTAGTGCTTCGTGACACACCCATGCCTTCTGCCTCTGACCACAGCGTACTAACGCACACTGCTCTTTTCCCTGTTGGGAGCTAGGTTAACAAAGCTCTCTACATATTGGCAAATAAATATATCTCTAAAACCTTCATATAGATGTATCCTTCAGGATTCAGGCATACAAATATGTTGGCTTTTCAAAGCCAAACCCAGATTGTTTAACTTGAAGTATAAACACTATTTTATAGAAGTGAAACTTGAATGTAACCCAGTACTAATTATAACATTTTCCTATATTGTATTTCAATGTTAAAAAGCAAAATCCATTTTTAAAAAGTTACCTAACACACTGACCAGTTTGTCTTGATGTTTAATGAGAAGCTCCCAAGCAAGTCTTGTACCAAGTGGGGAAGTGCTGTATGGACACCACAGGGAATCCCTCCATTGGCTGAAGACCCCACAGACCATCCTCCTGAGGACATCACAGGAGCTTTCAACCCCACCCCCACCCCCATCATTTTATCTGCCTTTCTGATGACTGTGAGTATGGTAGGAAGCAGACCCTGCCTATGTATTTGTTTAGGTTGTGTTCCTCAAAGCATCCCTTCAGCACCAACGGCTGCTTTCCCAATGACAAAGTCCATGCTGGAGCTCATGTTTGGACCACATCAAATACACCGCGGGAGGATACTGCTGCCTTCCTTCCAGTGACGTCACTTCAGCAGTGTGCTCGGAATAATTAGCACTTTCATTTGGAAGAGGAGAGCTCTATGCTGTTTTCACAGTGGCACTCACTAAATAACATCGCCTGAAGGTGTTCATCAAGAAATTTTGGCAAAGTGTGAGACATTTACAATGCTTTCAAAAAAGTAAACTAAATCAAATAATCGAAAAAGTAAACTAATAATTGAAACTGATTTCAAAGTTTAACCAGGGTTGGCTCAAAATGGCTTTCTTATTTAGAAGGCATAATTGTCCCAACCAGAGCACAAAATAGAAATTTCAAGGTCTGCAGCCTCTGTCCTATTAAAGACGAAAAGTACAATTCTTCAAAGAGAGATCCTAGCTGACTATTAAAAACAATACACAGAGTTTTACAACACACTGCCTGAAATCATTCAGCCTGCTTGTCTAATAACTCATGCTGCTGGTGCGTGAACAACCATTTCAATTCCAATTGTTCCAAAGGTGGTTTTGTTAAAAGAAATTGAGAAGGAAATTAATATTTACTGAGGTGGTGACTAGGAATTCCATCTCGGTGGCAATTCCTGCTGTGGTAACAGTAAAGTACACCATACAGCTTAGCAACAGAGGTGTTCACACTGTTTTAGTATTCAGACAAAACTTCCACTGTAATTATAAATATTTATAGGGAAATTACCATCTGCACAAGCACAACACGACGAGGTTGCTCGTTAGAAAGCCTCAGATTTACCTGACGCTGCCCTTGGTATTCCGCAGAACAGTTGCAGCAAAGTTCTGTGTGACCCCCACCAGGCTGATTCCATCCACTTCCACAATCTGGTCATTGACTTGGATCCTGGAGAAAGAGAAACCAGCATCTACAGTGACTGGCTCTGCTAATGGACTGCCTTTTCCAAGGAAGTAACACCCCACAGCTTGCTTTGAAGACATTCTCACTGATTCCAGACTTATGCACAACATACTCCAGACCACAGTCAAACAGTCCTCAAGATATTAATCTTCAAAACAGTACTATGAAGATTGCAGTTAGTACAGGGATTACCTTCTAAGTACAGGGACCTGAACTTAACACCTAGAAACCATTGAAGGCCAAAAAGATACCCTATCTCAAGAAAAGCCAGACAGCACCCGAGGAACAACACTTGAAGTGGATCACTTAGCGTCCACAGGCATATACAGATACATGTGCAATACCCACGTGAACATATAAATGTATGTACACATATGGACATTACAAAACATAAAAACTCCACTGAAAGCTAGAAAATTAATACTGAAAAGTTTCAGTTTATCCCACATATTCTTAAGAAGAAGGAATAATTGTAATGCACGGCAGATCTCTAGCACTGTTTGTACCTAATTAAATGGAACAGACACAGCTGAAATACCCTTTGTGCCTAACACCTAGTCGCTGCCACGGTTGTCCTCCCTCAGGAAAATATCAGGAACCGACTGCTTCAGTGTTTCAAATATGCAATGCTCACCTGTGTGCATGTGTATGTTCATATACATACTTCGATGTATGTTTCTGTATGAGTGCCTCTGAGATTGATATTATATTAATATTGATTAATGTCTAAATACTTCTAAATGTACACATATGTTTTATATATGCCACTTTTTAGTTCTCATAATAAAATACTGTGGGCATAAAGTAAACTGGTATGAAATTGATAACATACTCACCCAATTACCAGTTTATCAACCCTGAGCACTGTATAATATTTGAATCAGGCTTTTTCCAACATAATTCTTTACAGAAAAGGAGAAGCCTCTTGGGTGTGGTCCTACAATCTTATGGCCTTTATTTCTTCAACAGGCATGGCCACACGCTATTTTTTGGTGTTTAGCGATGGATGCCAATGGATACACATAATATAAATGAGTGTTTCTAATTTTTAAAGTGTACTACTCATCTTACTACTTGCTATATTCACTCAATATTAAATATTGAGTTTTGTCTCTGGCAACTACAGTTATAATTCTAGCTAATTCGTTTTGACAACTATATCATAGTATCTTTTATGAGGGCATCAAAATACATTTGTCTACCTTTTGTAGCTGGACATGCATCCCTTTCAAATTTAACTATTATAAACACAGCTGGAAACAATCTATTGGATAATATGCTTCCAATCACAGGAGACATGTATGGAAGTAAATGTATGGAAGTTGACAAATCCTTGGGGCCTTTAGATCTTTTCTATGGTGTGAATCGTGAAGGTTCATAGCTACCCAAGCTTCACCACTCTGACATCACTACCTACTCATTCCTTAGAAAAGGCAGAGGAGGCAGGTGTGCTGAGGAAGGGCCAAGGCATACATACAGGGAAGCTCAGGCAAGCTCCACATCACCCGCTACTGAGATACCTCGTTCCCCAACACTTGCAATCACATTTACTATCGCACTACTTTCTGAAATAATTGGGAGCTGAATCAAATCTTTGACATCGTTATTTTATATTTATGAAAGTCATCTTTTAAATTCCTTAGTGTTCACCTGTATTTGGACATCACATTCTGAAGGATCCACGGAAGTGACCATGAAGCCTGTCAAACTGTGGCGCTGCAGAGAGATGGCTCAGTGCTGAAGCCCAGCTCCACAGTGCCAGCTCAGACAGCACGGTGACTCTCAATAATAGCAGAAATACTCTTTGCCACCATTCAGGTTTGCTAGCAGGTTAGTTTTCCTTCTTTTTTATTTTTCTCCTTCTGAACTTTGTACCCTCCTGACCTGGACTCTGGTTTTGCCATTTTGGTTCTGGCCCTAGGATGATGATGATGATGGTGGTGGTGGTGGTGGTGGCAGCAGTACATGGGGGCCATGAATGCTCACCAAAGCAGCAGTGAGTGGGAGCAGGCTCTGAGTGCCTTCCATGGAGAGCTCTGCTGGGGTCACTGAAAACCACGGCCTTCATGGGACAGCTGAAGAACCTGACTCACTTCTCCCAATTTTAATTCTCTTCTGAATTTATGAGTTTAAATGTTTTCACTTGAATTTCATTACAAGATGTTCAGAGTTTACAGAAATGCCTCTGTATGCCTTTCAAGCATACAGTTCCTCTGAGGACTTCACGTGTGGCTGAGGTTGCAAACAGAAGCTATCTGTTCTTTTAAGTCGTGTGATTGAACATCAGTGTCTTTCATTATGTGATGATGAAATATCTTCCTAAAAACAAAAATCTTACAAAGATATCAGCCAGTCGGATTTTATACCGAAACAATTGAAAATGCTAACCTTGGGTCTAGTGCTGGCTCCTCTATTCTGTCTTGTAGATCTATCTATTACTCTGTTATCTATCTATCTATCTATCTATCTATCTATTTATCTATCTATCTACCTAACATCTATCATCAATACCACATTTTCTTGATCCCTGAAGCTTTAGAAGAACATCTTGAAGTCAGATCATGGCCGCTTCCAACTTTTTTCTTATCCTCCATGACTGAGTGTACAATTTTGGCCCTTGTTTCTTTCCATATAAAACACCCCAGTCCATTCTTTAGTATCCACTGTTATGGTGTGGGTGTAAACTATCCCTCACAGGCTCTTGTGCTGGGACCATAGATCCCCAGCTGGTGGCACTGCTTGGAAAACCCTGCTGGAGGAAGTCTGCCACAGGGGGTGGGCTTTGAGGTTTCGCATCCAGGCCTCACTTCCTGAGTGAGGATGATGAAGGCTCAGTCCACTTCCTCCATGCCTTTCTTCCCTAAGATGGACTCTGTTCCCCTGGAACTGTGATTCAGATAAACCTTTGCTTCCTTGAGTTGCTTCTGGTCTGGGTGCTTTTAACACAATGGGAAGGAACCAACACAGCCATAAAATAACTCAGAGATTATCCGCTAAAATTTCATTGGATACACAGATAAAACTAAGGAAAATTCACAGCCTGGCATTACTTTTTCCTACCTGTGAAAATGAATATAACTTCATTTATTTACCTTTATTTGATCTTTACCAGAATTTTATAGCTTTACACAGAACCTAAATTTTGTCAGATGGACTTAATTTTTGGAAGACAACATAACTATTATTGCTATTAATTTCAAATTTCATTTATTTATTACTGACATACTGTGACTAACACTAAATAACTTTTGTATAATAAACTCGTATTCTGCCAATGATGAAATTATTTTAGTTTGAGAAGCTTTATTTTTTAAAAAAAAAAATCTAGCTTAAAAGCTCCTGGACATACCATTACAGAGGACAAACCACCTCTGCTTGCTTTTGATGTAGTCTTAGAAAGTATGACCAAATTTGCTTTCAGACTCTGAGAAGAGACCAAACCCCCATTCTTCTGAGAATACATCTAGGGATGGTCAGGGATGCTCCAGTACACACAAGAAGTCTCATAAGAGACCTCTCTGTTCCCAAATTCATGTCTGTGTCATAATGACACAAGACAGAATGGTAACAGTGAAGGTTAACTGAATTTGGGACTGGTGCCACAATCCAGAAACAATGGCTACTCTAGAGACTGAGGCAGAAGAGTTCACTTGAGAAAAGAATTTGGAGGATAATGTGGCAGGACCTGTATCTTAAATAAATAATAAACAAAAAACAGAGGAAGGGGTGAAGGCAGAGACAGGTGAGCTCAACTTCAAGTCTCAAAGCTTTGGTGGCAAGCATCCTCCAATCTACAAACCAGCAAAAGCATAAGTAACCGGTACGCTGTGTGAGAGAGGAACACGTCAATTAAACAGACTATCCCCAGCATGACATGAAAAAAATCTAGAACCATGTTCTTCACTCCAGGTGGAGGTGAGAAAGGAGCCTACCTTTAGAAAGATTTAAATTATTCTAAACCTAAAATGCATTCAATAATTGCCTATCAATAATGCTGTGCCTGCTGTAAAAAGTGCACAGTTGGCACCTACCTCTGCAGAGCATTTGATACTGTTCTATTTCTGCAAATGTTCATTCACATGCTTCTGTTCAATGACTTCAGCCCAACTTTCTTATTTCTTATTTTGTAGAGGACCTTGATACTTTGACCACAAATGACTATAAGAATTCCTCCTTACTTAGATCTGGAAGGCTAGTCTAACTAAGGTGTGTACTGCCTTCAAGGATTAGGAAGCAAACAACCAAAGTAAGTCAGAGCCTTCTCACTGTATCTTACAGAATGTATACGTCAATGCACTGTAGACTGTGTAATCAGAACGAGACAGGCAGGAAGGTCAAGGAAGAAAGCTACCACAGATAGGAATACAACCTTCCTGACTGAGGAGAAGAAACAAACAGGCACTGCTGTTCCCAAGGTCACAAAACACAATATTTCTTTTTTTTTAAGACAAAAAACTTGGGACAGTCAGCTTAAAGGAGACTAACAGATACCAATGTGTACATCTAAAACCAGGTCTATGGATAGGGCCTAGACCATGAACTCAAAAACCCAAGCCTTGTGGCACTCCAGAGAAAGAAATACACAATATAATGATAATGTATGGGAAAAATAAATGAAGATAAGGGATGAATGGTTAGTTTTACATGAAAATAATGTAGAATAGCATCAATACATAAAATAATGGCTCCAGGTCCCATTAAAGGAAACAGAGAAAAGAGGAAAACAAAATTCTGTGTCTTTTATGCTGAACTTGAGATAGAAATCTTTATCAAAGAAGTTCCATGTATTTCATGTTTTAAACATGAATTTGAGAGTCTTGCCTAGATAGGCATTAAGATTAAAGTAAGACTAAGAAGAAAACAACACAGGAGGCCACAATTTTTGAACAACGATTTTGATACAATGTTACAAGTAGGGTGTAAATACAGACTTCAACATGTTTGAAGGTTAGAGTCCCACATTGATTTTGTTACTTGTGTTTAATCATTTTGTTGCTAAAATGGAGAAGGAGGGAAGAGGTTTCTGTTAAATAGTGGACACGGTTGGTATGCGCCACTTATTTCTGTAGATTCTCACTGAAACACTGGTGAATAATACACTTTCAAATGAAAGTGATCAACAACAAAAAGCACAGCAAATGCTTTATTTTCTAGAAATAGAAGAAATACAGGTGATCAGGAACATTTTAATAGGCCTGAAAAAAAGTGCTGAAGACATGCTTCAGCGGCGAGAGCTCCCACTTTTGGAGATGACCTCAGCTCAGTTCCCAGCACCCACATCCCTTTCCAGAAAACAATGCTTTCTGGCTTCTGTAAGTAGCTGCATGCATGCAGTGCACAGGCATACATACATGCACATGAAGTAAAATAATTAAAAAATTGTTAAGGACAAGTGCTCAAGAAAAGTTAAATATTGAATAGCAATTATGCCATGGTAGTCACATTATTAAAGATTTACTATATGACAAAGTTCAGTCTGAATCAGGTATGGCAGGAGCTCTTTGGGAGTTTCTGCTCAGACGAGCATAAAGTGAATGATGCTTCTAAAGAGCACTCTAGCAACATGTTCTTAAAGCATCTAACATGCAACACACACAGACATAGTAACTCCACTCCTAGGGATTAGTTTCAAAAGGATCAGAGATGCTCTTGACAATTTGTATATGAAAATGTTGATATGATTCCCATCTTGAAATCAAAAATATGCCAAAGTCATCTATGTTACATACACATGTGTCACACACACACACACACACACACACACACACACACACATCCTTTTAAAATGGACTGCAGGCTAGACTATAATGTTAAAGCTGACTGTGGAGCTAGACACCATGGGTTTACGGTCGGCCTCTGCCACTTCCTTGTGCATACACATAAGAAACTTTAGCTTCCTTTTATATGCAGTAGAAGCAATAAAACACATATTAAATCAACATTATTAGCAGGAGCAAATAAGTTAAAATACAGCAAGTACAGATCACTGCTTTTACAATGTAAGCATTCAACAAATATCCTCTTGATGAATAAAATAAACACTCAAGGCTGTAGAGATATATCCCTTTATCTGGGATCTTACTCTCCCTGCTTTCAATGACACTTGTTATCGGCTGTCTGAAAGTATTTCATGGAGAATTACAAAACTAAACAGTCCCAAACTTATACTGCATGCCATTCTAAGTAACATGATGAAATCTGCTCTCTGTCTGTCCTGCCAGGACGAGAGCATCCTTTGGCCAGATATATGCACGTTGTGAATGCGACCTGCCTGCTAGTCACCCAGTCACCCACAGAACCACAGTGCCTCTGTTCAAGTAACACTTGCTATATAGTTAACCCTGCCCAAGAAGCACAAGGCAGACTTGTACCTCAGAGTCAGAAGACAATTTAAATGTGCCAAAGATAAATCCTGGGCTTCCTTTAAGTGAAAAGATGAAATCTGTCAGCTTTTAAAGCAGGGGAGGTAAGTACATTCATATTCTACTGTCAGAACAAAGGCAGAGCAGTTCTGCCCTGATTCAGGAATCGACCTACACAAGGAGCAACCCTGTGGTAAGAAACAAAGTTGTCCTGACTAAAGAGCTCCCAGAGAAGGCACATTAGTGCCCAGCAACACTGGGAAGAAGGGTGGGGCTGCAAAGTCTTAGCGTTCTTTACCATTCACCCCAGACATGTTCCTTATTACACTAAGCCAGCACTGAATATCATTGATATTGTAAGAATGATGATGACATTTTTATAGTGTACAGGGAACCAGCCTGAAATGCTTTCCTTAGATGAAGCATGACAAGAATGACTCCTTATTAAGCAAGAACATGGGTAGGAGAAGCTGAAGGGTCTAGCCTGGAGATTCTACAGCCTATGACCCAAGGCCAAAAGGAAATTCTCTCAAATGCAAGAGAAGTAATACACATAGCCAGACTTCCACAGAAAGCTTACCATGTCTAACAATATGATTAACTTATAAGCAGAGAACGAGTATGGCATGCCCTAATTCCTTTCATGTGCCTGTGTAAAATACACACACACACACACACACACACACACATCAAAGAAGAAGAAAAAAAGGTTGTAGAAAATACTTTAGAGGGGAAAAGAAAACTGGTCATCTAGAGAGAATTTATCAGCAGGAATCCAGGTGATAAACAGCTAAAAGAAGTCTGTCAAGGAGAAGTCAGGACATTAGGGAGAAGTGTGCATCTTGCTCCAGAAAAGATCCTGGGGAGGCTATGAGGAGTCCAAGCTACCATGCACTCCATGTGGCAGCAACACTGACAGCAGCACACGTGTTCTCTAGCCTTCTTCTCAAGCTGCTGGGAGGCCTCAGGGCTGACTCAGAACCAGCCAGTGTGTCCGGCTCATGAAATTACAAGATGGGCTATGTAGGGTTGGCTAATGTGTTCAGAAAGTTATTTGTCAGCATAATACTTCTGTGAAGGGGCTGGGGACACTCTACTTCACAAGGTCTGTCAACAAGCAACCAAAATGAAAGGCAGGGACTCCAGCCACGGCAACAGTAACGATGCTCAGCATACTTCCGCGTATGTGAAGATGCACATCCAAAACAATATCCCAACTCCCCAGATACGATCTATTAATGAAACAATGTAGGACAGCAATAAAGAAAATAGGTTAAGAGAAACCTAATTTAATTTTTAAATAAATTGAAATTTTAAAAATTTAAAAAATTTTAAAATAAATGAAAACATATATGACAGCCTTTATTTGACAGCAGATCCAAGAGTGCTGAATGAGGCCAGTTTCTTTGTGTCTTCATTTGCACCTGATTCACCTAAAAGGTTACACAAAATCATTTCAGTTTGCTTGATACTAACTGTAAGAATTATTTCCTATCTCCCCGAAATGACTTTTACAGGTAAGGTAGATTTTACACGTTTAATTCACTTGAAGAAAGGGGGCCTCTTCAAAGAGCTACATAATGGTAGTAATAGTTCCTATTTTAAAATTTATTTTATTTTATTTTATTTATTTTTCAAACTCAGAGATCTGCTTGGCTCTGCTTATCAAGTGCTAAGATTAAAGGTATGTGCCACTACACTCAGTTTAATTTTTTTTATTTATTTAATCTATATTGTGGTTTTTTAAATGTGTGTACTCATGTGCACACACATGGAAATCAGAGGACAGCTTTTAGTATCACTGTATTGGCACCAATAGTTTCCATTATTAACTCGGGACCTTTCTTGAAACCTTGAAATAAGTAAATTAAGTGTGATCCCTGCCCCTTAGGAACCTCATGTATATCAACAGGTATTGGGGTAATGGAAGACAGAATGAGTCTCAACAGAGACCCATGGTTCACAGACTTCTTGAGAAGAAGGTGAGGTGATTCGTAATGAAACATAGAAACGTTTGAGGATGTTCTCTGGATTCCGCTGTCAGAATCTTGGGTCACTATTGATTTCTATTGTCAATCCTTTGCTTCCAGTCTTCCATCAGAAGCCTGGTGGGAAGCTAAATCTTTACATTAAAGGTGTTTGAACACTGAGCTGATGAAAGCTGAAACATTAACCCATAGCTACAACTACCCGTGGAGACTGGCAGCCTCTGTCATGGAGAGTTCTCTTTTCATGATTCCAAGCACTGTTCTAGCATTTGTTTTTATACAGAAGAAGATGTGGAGGAACACTAGTGCCTAGAACTCCCCTCACAGTAGAACTGACTTCTTAAGTTGTGGCTCCACCTCTGTCATTTCAAAAGCACCATTATTATTATTGTTCATTTTAATATTTCTGAAGTAAAGTCATATGCCGACCTTCCTAAGACATGTTCTTCAATCATGGTGTGTCATGGCCCACTTCACACTGACTAAGTACATGAATGGATAGAAACAAAGGCAGACAGACAGATGCACATTTACTGCATTGATATTTTGCTACCAATAAGAAAGTAATTCAAGTGTTCTCACATACTCCCACATCTGAGAAACACTAATAAAAAGTTTTTTTAGTCAAAAGAAGAAAGGTCATACATTCTGACAGAAATGTGCAGCCAGTTCCTGGGCTCCAGCTCACAGTCATCAGCATCCGCTTACCTGCCATCCCGCTGGGCAGCACCTCCTTCAGTCACTGTCTTGACAAATATCCCCAGCTTCTCCAGTCCAGCATCAGCACCAACGCCCATGCCAATAATGCTTATGCCAAGCCCATCCTCGTCTAGGAGAGAGAGAAGACAGTGAGCAGCTGCCCGTGTCCTGGTCTAACGGGCCTAGCTGGCTGACGAGGCTGCTTGCTCCTCATAGTTTTGTTCTTCATGTGCACACAGGACAAATTATAGGTTTGCCTCCATAGAACAAGAGTCCCCAAATGGGTCAAGAGTTCCAGACATTTTCTGCTTCTGTTGGTAATTTAGTGTGGTCACAGAAAAGGCAATAATTTGGTCCTGAATAACTAATAAATCTCAGAGTCCCCAATTACCCTATTCACTACTTTAGTCGTGAAAAAGTGAAAAAAAACATACATTCAACTACCTTTATAGTTTTAAATAAACATGACCCTTAGTTATTTGGAATTTCATCTTTTCATTTTACTGTCTTCTCTTTTTTAGAAGATTGCATGAAGCCTGGAATTGGCTCACATGAGCACTTTCCTTCTGTGCCTTATGTCTGAATTTGATATCTACCACAACAAGAACAAAAGAAAAATAAAGATTGGATGTACAAGTGAGTACAGTCCTCTCTGCTTCTACGGGCATCTGCACTCATCAGTAATAATGTGTCCGTCTGCATACCTGTATGTATATACATACATATATAGACAAGCACAGACTCATGTTTATTGGCCTTTCTTCCCTTTAAACAAATAAGACTTCATTTCTCCCTGCATCACACATGTTTAAAATTAATGATACTTTGTGGATAAACTTTTATAGACTTAAATCATTTCTAGCGACTACATACTATTTCATGATGATTTATCATAGTATATTAAATCACTTTCGCTGTTAGCAATCCATCACTTTTATTTCCACTTTATTGGCCTTGTAAGCAACATTGAAAGTTATATTTCAAATTCACATACAAATCATGTGTTAATTCACATTTTCATTTGTCCTTTCCATGAGCAAATATAGTTCATCACCAATAAAATAAAAAGATTTTGTTAACATTTCAAGGTTATTTTTCTAGGAGCCTCAAAGTCTTTGTAATCATGATTTATCAGCAGCATAAAAAAATAGATACTAGTTAATCAACAGCTACAGATCATTAAAGGAAAGCTCATTCATACATTCAAAAGAATGAATTTAAAATCATTTTCAGCAATTACTGTTCTCTTCACCAAGTGCTTTAGAGGGGGTTGGCCTCAGTGATCATCTCTTGTCACCAGCAACTGCCTTTATGACTACTTTGTTCTAAATCCATGTAGAAAATCCTGTCTTTCTCCTACATTTGTTTCCGAGATGCTGTCAGCAACAAGCTGGTGTTTGTTTTGTTGTGGATTCAGGATTCTGTGGTGTCTACCCTACGTGAGTTTTCTGGTATGAAGCTCAGCTGAAGGCATGTCCACCTGGATTGCAGGCATTGGAACGTCTCCAAGGTGAGAACAGGAGCATCTTCTAATGTGTGAGTGATGACCAAAGACGACTCTATCCCATTACATCACGGTCTTTGCATATATGCAACTTTTCATATTTACTTCATTCAAATCATTCTTCCTGTATAAAAAGCCTGAACCTGATCAGGAGGGTCTTCTGACTCTCAGCACACTGTGGGAATTTTGCTCCAAGTTCTCTTGTGCTTGTGAAGCAGTGGGTGAAAGGAGGGACTTGCATATTGGTCATGTAATGTGGTTCTCATCTCTCCTAAAAGAATTCTTTTGTGGGTATTATGGTAAACCACTGGTTTCATGGTTCACACTTATGATATTCATGAAGTTCTTCTGGAGTGAATTTGTTCTGTCACACGATGTGTTCATAGCAAATGGATCTGGCGCCTCTCCTTGTGTTCTGCTTGAGATGGTTCTGTAGACTGGGCCACATTGATGAATGCCACCTCCTTCCCCTCCCGCCAAAGATCTCTGGGGAATTAGCATCCCTCCTGAATTCCTGCTCACTGCCCTTGCAGGGGGTCTCCTTATTATAATGGCCTGTTAAACTATGAAGGTTAAAAGTGTTCATTAAATTCCAAGGCTGCCACTGAGCCCCACAAGTATCCTGTACTTAAATAATCCTGGAAATTATTCATTGGCTTTAAAATCTATTTTCCCATGCCTAGACTCTACCCTTCTTAACATTCCCTTTCTTCTTTCCATAGGTCCTCTTACTGCTCTAACTAGAAAGTTATTTACATTTTCTCTCTTTCTCCTTCTCTTTCTTTCTTTTTCTTTCTTTCTTTTTGGTCTTTTTGTCTATAGTAGAGCTTGTTTTAGGAAAAGTAACATTAGCTTGAGTCATCTTAAATCCTAGTTTAGACTTACTGAAGGGCCAAACATGGATGGAAGAGAGCAATCATCTTAACCAGAGGATGCTCCCAGCACCTCATCTATTCTCTGTTCAAAGGAAGTCTGGAAACCACAAAAGCAGGAAGCCCAGGAGTGGGCCACCAAGACTGCTCAACAGGTAAAGGTGCTCACTCCCAAGCCTAACATCCTAAGTTCAATTCCCAGGACTCACAGAGTAGTAGGAAAGAACACACTCCTAGCTAGATGTCTTCCAATCTCCACGTGTGTGCTGCACCACACAATTGTCCCTCTTCCCAAACATGTAATACATATAATTAATATAAAATTTCAAAAGGAACCCAGTAGTGACCCTGATCACTGGTCTTTCCTCCTCTATACACTCCCAGGGACAGGCAAAAGCATTAAGTAGACAAAGCAGTCAGGAAAAAACAGTGATGCCCTCACATTACAGAAGATGCTGCCCCCTGACCTGGGGTCCAGTCTTGCTTCCCCTCAGGAAAGAGGCACTTGCTGCTACAACATTCCTTGTGTTGCACGTGAGATTTGAGCCTATCTCTAAGAACTCTGGGTTAGTAGATTTCCTTTCCTGTAAAAGGCCAGTTTTTCTACTGAATTTTTCCTCTTTATTATGATGATTTACAAAGATTCTTAGAATATTACAGATATTAGCTTTGTTATCAATAATGGAGATGATTTTTCACTTATTGGTTTTTTTTCTGACATAATTGCCTTTATCAGGTAAAGACTCTATGTAATCAAAATGGTATTTTAACTTTTCAAACTTTTGGTTTCCTGTTTTTGATTGGGTTTTCCCACCAACCTAGGTGATACATATTTTTGTAGATTTTCTTCAAATATAATATCATTACTTTTTAGCATTCAATTTTAATTTTATTAGACTTTCTTATACATGCTACAATAAAGGTGCTAAACTTTATATTTTAGACAGATGTTGAGTTATGACAGCGTCTATCTCATAATAAATGTTCTCTCCTATTAATATTTCTTCCTGTGTTTTCAGTTATTTTCCACTGACTAACCACTATAAATATAATTTTTTCTAAGTATTGAAGCTTTACATTAGATCGAGATATTTGGCAAATTAAACTCTTCATATTTTTACACTTTCCTCAGGCCTGGATGTTTCTATATAAAATACATTATTATTTTACACAACACTCTCTTATAATGTAACTTTATTGACAGTTCTATCTGTATCACATTGAATTTAAAGGAATGTATAAAAGAAAAGAAATGTATGGAAAGAGTGTATCTCAAGCCTTCCTATCCAGGAACATGATAAACCCATCTTACTTAACTCTTACCTTTTCCACTTTGTTCTGCATTTGAGACAGTGTCACTCTATCTATAGACACAGATATTTGCTCTGGAACCCGTGGGCAGTTACAGACTGGCCTTAAACTCAGAACAGTTTTCCTCTCTTCGTCTTACATGTGTTGAGACTACAGAAATGAGTCACCGTACCCAACAAAATATCTGATGACTTTCTATAATAAAAACATAGATAAATTCTGTATTTTATGTAATAAATATAATTAGTATTTTGCTGCTACTGTAAATAAAGTATTTTTCCCATTTTACTCTTAAGTTATGCATATGAATAATGAGAAAACCTATTAGTACCTTATGGATCTTGAGTCAGATCTCTTCCTTTACAAATTATCTTAGCAATTCTAAAATTTAAAAAAATTTTAATTGTGTCCCTAAGATAGAGACAGATACTGCTATGATTTAGCTACATGTCCCCTTAAAGGCTCATGTATTACACAGACTTGATCCTCAACTTGCCACTGAGATATGGTAGAACCTTAGGAGTCAGAGACTAAATGTTGAAGTTAGGGTGGGCCCTTCAAGGGAACAAGGAACCTGGCCCCTTGTCTGTCTCTTCTGCCTCTTGGCTGTCAAGAGGGAGCAGCTTCTCTGTCACACACACCACTCTACTGCGTTACTAGAGGTCCAAAGCATGGCCAACTGTCACAGACTGAAGCCATGCATTAAATCAGCCTGCCTTTCAGCCTGTTATCTGAGGTGTTGCGTTTCACTCACAGAAGCCTGACTCACCAAATATGGATATGGGTATTCAGAAAAAGGAGATGTTTTGCAAACTTACTCTTTTATTCTTTATACAGGTCATACTATTTAAATGGCATTCCAAGTTTTTCTTCTGACTTTAGGTGACGTGTTTTTCATGCTTCCTATACTTAAAGGTTCCACTGATTTTGTAATTTGCAATTTGCAAAATTTATCGGTAATGTCTATTACATGCTAATTTGAAGTTTTTAAACTAAACTTTACCAAACATAATTCTATATGACTACAGACTTTTCCTCTAAATTGCATGAAGTTAATTTTGCTAATAGATGGCTACAGCTTTTTTCTCATATCTAAAAACCCATTTTCTCTCATGTATTCTCCGTGGATATTTCCTTGTTTGAAAATTTATTTCCCTTATAATTCTAAATCCTGGAGTTGGTATGACAGCCTTCATTTTTTAAAACAGTAAATTAGTTTGGAGTAAAAAAAATAATAATAAAATAAAACCCTCTTATTCTTCATTTTATCTGAAACAAAAGAGTCAAAGCAACACTGGTTTTGTGTGTCCCTTATGAGTAATGGAGCCATGTGGGTCTGAAGCACTTCCATGTTTTGTCTGTGAATACCACCCTCATCAAGCAAGTCCACATTTTATATATAGGCACCTTTCCAAGTAAGCACTTCCATGGTCTACCTGTAGACATTATTCTAATGAAATGCTTTCATGTTTTATAGAATAAATACCATTCCAACTGCTGTTGTGGCAATCCGCCAGTCTATTGGTTTGATAATTCACATTGTTAGAAAATAAATCATTTCTATGTACACATCACGTGTGTCAGAGTTCGGGGCATGACAACACTCACGCTACACATTTGTATGTATTTACCACACATATTTTCACCCTGTCTTGTCTTTTGTCTTTTGAGGTTTGGAAAATTATTTAGTCAGCAGCCTAAGATGGATCTGAATTTCAGATGCCTCTGCCACCATGTGCTGGGGTGACAGGCATGTGCCCCAACATGGGGCTTGTGGCTGTCTTCACTTTTAGAGGTGACTTGGCACTTTTAAAGAGAACTTCACTTGTAAAGGTAGTCTTCACCAAATGGGTCAGCAGCCAGTGCCCAGCTCATCCTAACACCACAGACTGGCTTGTGGTTAGGACGTCGCGTCCTCTGGCTTCTTTGCATTAGATTTTAACATTTTCATCGCTGTATGAACACTTTTAAAAATTTAAAAATTTAAAAAAGCCAGCATGAAGGAAACAGTGGTACACTACACCATCACCACAGGTGTTCACATGTAAAAAAAACCAACTCTGAAACTATGAAATTCCTGACTCTTAACTACAGTTACTTCCATACTGGCACATATGAGATAATTCACTGCTATTGATGCTTTTATTAAGGCAAGTGCGTAAGTTTGAAACACAGCAGTAAATTAGGTTGTCTTCCACAACGGTGTACTTATCTGGTAAGCTGTGTATAACTGTCATCTCCCTCAGAGGAAGAGACTCCTTTGTACTGGGACAGGCTGCCAGTTGCTCTGTTATCAGCAACCAAGTCCTCCCAGCTTGGGGATCAGGGCTAGGCAGTTATTTCTTTTCAGTGTTTTTCAGATCTTAAATTTTATGCCTGTATTTGGTGATAGATGTCAGTGACATTTCACAGTTTCAAAAGTTCTTGCTGCTCTGAGAAGTATAGATACTATATGAAACTCACAGAGTAATGACACCATGTGTTGGGGTTTGTTCTTTTTTGAGGAAGAAGAGGAGGAAGAGGGGGAGGAAGAGGAGAAGAAGAAGAGGGGGGAGGAGAAGGATGTGCTTTTATTGGTTCTACCTTCCATAAACCATTTTGCTTTGTAGAAGTCCAGACTGACAGAATCACCATCCATGTTCCTAATAAATTTATCAGCCCAGCTTTCTCACTATGTGATATGTTTTGCATTAATTAAGACAAAAAGTTGATAGCTCAGTCAGAAGAGGAGGGGGAAATCTGCTGGGAAGTACATCTGAAATTGTCCAGATCAGATTTGGGAAACATAACTTTTGTACATTAAGAAAAAAAATCGCTTAAACATCATATGGCAAATAGCCATTAAATTGTTAAAAGTCAAGTTATGAAGAATGAGCTTTTGTGCAGACAAATGTTCATAGGAATATTTATGTGATCGAGAGTTGGCTTTTATTTTTCTTACTAGAGCTTACACCTGCCAGTGTAATTATCTACTGGGCCACGACAACTCTGTGATTTTCTATTCCAGGACTTCTTAAACACCTTAGAGACATTTAAGTGTAGAGTTGATCACGTTGTTAGCTTTTTCATCTACTGTCTTTGAAAACCTTTAAATAAAAACATCTGAACCTTCAAAAAATATACTTCCTTTACCTTTTCTGATTTGACTTTTTTTCTTAAATGTTTATTTTAAAGAAAGACACTAATGTAAATTTATTTTGAGTAAGGCTTTTACTGTATATTTTACATGAAAAAAAAATCCTTTCCAAGACAGATGGTAATAATAGCTTCAATTTTCTGTCAAATATGTATCTAAGAACTTTATAGTTTCCAGATTCTCATGATAGTACTGAGATTCTAATTTTTGTTCAAACATAAGATTGCTCTTCTTTTCAAAAAACCAATCTCATGTTCTACCAGCTGTGTATTTTGCCTTTATTGACAGATTTAAATGGATTTGTATTTGTTAATCTACCCCTAATTTGTATTCTGCCTGTTAGATCTACTTATGAAAGAAATATAGTAAAATTTTGAATAACTATTTCCTTTGGTTAGCTAATTTTCCCACTTTAAATTTAAAGTGAAATATATGGACACGGTACAGTTTATTCAACTGTTCATCTGTGAAGTATGTTTAAAGAAGAGAGTAAGCATTCTGGAACTACACACCTAGAATCCCAGAGACAGAGAGGAGAATTGGCAATTGCAGGCCAGTCTGGGCTACACAGTCAAGCCATGTCTCACACCCCAAGAGCAAAGTGGGAAACACACCCAAAGTGGAAGAGGCTTATGATACTAGGATTTGTATGCTGAGGCAGGAGGATCCCAAGCTGGAGACAAGCCAGAGCTACTATAGAATTCAAGGGCTTTCTGGGCTACAAGAGCAAAGGTATACAAAAGTCCTTGTCCCATCAATACAGAAACCACAGGCACTGCAGAAAGGTTTGTACACACCTGCCCAGATTCCCTTAACCCTTGGTGACAATCCATCTATTTTACCTATCCTTCCTCTGAAAACACTAACTTAATAAAAAAATCACAACTACTCACCTGTGTATCTCATAGCCTTCAGTTATATGCTGCACAGTTTTCCCTGGGTTTGAAATTCAAACCAGTTGGGAGAGTGACCTCTGTGACTTCCTCTTTATGCACCCTCGACCTTATGTTTGGGGAGGTCACACACACTGCTGTGTGAACTGCACTCACAGTCCATCACTGACTAGGTATGCTGTCATGCCTCGCATAAATACGTGGGCTTTTCTCGAGTTTGGCTCTTATCAGCCATGTGAGACACACTAGCATTTCGGAAGACCCTTCATCTATATTTTTAAATACACAAAAATGAGAGCATCGCTCTGTTTCAGCTTAACTCCAGATGAACGTGTCCTTTAACACTCAGTGGAATACTGGGCAATCATCGTATTATCTAATTATTACATTATCCATGCAGTTTTCTGTTGCACAATTATACAGAATTCCCCTGTTTGATTCATCTTTACTGTTTGAACAAGTTGATTGTGTCTTTTCCTCTTTGCCAGCCAGAAGCGAATTTCTCGGATAACTTGTGTTCATGAAAACTTTATACATCAGCAACATCGCTTCTTTTCTCAGGAGAAGCAAATGCTCCCTGGGTGCACATGGAATTCTGGGGACAACCCCCTTTCACTCTGTGGACCATGAACGCACACTTCAGTACAGTTCCCAGGGCTGGAAAACAACTGATACTATTCCAGCCATTTCAAATACTTGTACTTGTTCTTTTACTTTGTTCTTTTTTTTAACCTGGTATTCTGTAAGACTCTTATTTTACCTCTATCCATCAGGACTCCCCACTTTGCTGGGGATCTATTTGGCATTTTCTCCTCCGACTATTAGTAACGGTGTATCTCCTTCACTGCTCTATGTTTCGCTTCCATTGTTTACACTTTAGGTGTCAGTGCTATTCCTGGTTTTCTTGGGTGTTTGCAGTCATTTGAAATGGGTTTGGGGACATTTATTCCTTTGGACCTCTTAGGTCACCTGTGTGAGTCTCAACAATAGCCATGCTTGTCGCCTCAACGTCTGCAGCCAAATTTTCCATTTGAAAATCAATGAATTTGTTGTTGGTAATGTGCTTAAGAATGTCTTTTTAAAGCCACCATTTACTGTCTGTAGTGACTTTCTTTTCTTTTTGGCTTTTCAAGATCTGACTATCTGCCCCCATTCTAAAGGCTTCTCAAATTTGTTAGTGTTCTACTCGCAGGGGCACAATCCAGTTCCTGGTTGCCTAGCTCACTTGAAGACAAGCACAGCCATCTCTGCTCCAGGCACCAAAGGCTTGCAGGCAGGTCATCCTTCCAAGAGGAAAACTCAGGACAAAAGCATCTGCTTCCTCTTCCCCCTTTTCTCTTTCAGTCTTCTCACAAACAGAGAACGGCACATTTCTGATTGAAGCTTTTTGCATCTCACTGTCTTCTCTCCAAATCTTAAGTTTCCAGAGAGACTTATCATCATCACCACATTCTGAACTACTGTGACTACCCTTCCACCCCAAACCAGAAAACTCCAAAACTTTTCCTCAAGATCAGCCTCCCGTGGGCTTTTACCTTCACCTTCACCAGCACTTCCAGTAACACCAACAAAGCAATGGGACACACACACACACACACACACACCATCTTAGTTTGGGTTACTATTGCTTTCTAGTTCTATTCTAGCCCAAAGTTCCAAAGTCCTTCCACAATCCTCCCAAAAATAATTGGGCAGGTCTATCACAGCATAACACTGGTACCCATTTGTCTTAGTTTGGGTTACGATTACTATGACAAAAGCAGTTTTCAAAGGGAACGGTTTATTTGGCTTACACTTCCCTATCACAGCTCATTATCAAAAACCAGATAGGAACTCCTGAGTTTCTTAGTTAATAATTGCTGTGGAAGGGTCCAGACCATTATGAGTGGTCCTGGGTTCCATAAGAACTTGTTGCTGGGCAAGAAGTGAGGGACAAGCCAGTAAGCAGGACCCCTTCATGGCCTCTGCATTAGCTCCTGCCATGCTTGAGTTCCTGTCTCAATTGAGACGTCTCCCTCTCCAGTGACTCTACATTGTGTCAAGTTGACATAAAACTAGCCAGCACATCCCCATATGAACCTGCATCCCAGCCAGACAGAGGAACTGGGTTGTTTGTTGCTGGAAAGATGACGGTGTCATTTAGTAAACTATCGACTCGAAATCATCATCAACTCATTCTGAAACCTGGTAAACTTCGGAGGCAGTTACAACCTTACTCCATTCTTAGAAGCAAGCTACCCTCTGGAAAAGTCACCGCATGCTACTAGCACACACTGGAGTCCTGTGTACCTTTCTCCAGCTCCACGGGGAAAAGTTCCAGCTTTTCTACTCGCTTTTCAAGCTCATACTCAGCGGATGCAGCCACAGGGTCAACGTCATCGTTCCTCCTGTCATAGTCTTCATTGGAGTATGTGTTGAAAACCTACAGGAAAGGCCAAGAACAAACGGTCATACAGAAAAGATGCCATTCCGTATTTCAAACTACATAATTTAACGAAAAAACAAACAGTAATAAAATTCTTGATATTTTTCTTTTTTAAAAAAATTTTATGAGTATGTTCACATAAGTATGTGTGTGTGTCTGAAGATAAGTGTAACATATACGTTGAGTGAGTCTGTGTGTCTCTTATATGTGTGCATGCATGCGCGTGCCCATGTGTGTGCCTGTGTATGCATGTGTGCGTGTGTGCGTGCGTGTGTGTGTGCGTGCGTGTGTGTGCATGTGTGTGCATGTGTGCGTGCGTGCGTGCGTGTGTGCGTGCATGTGAGATGCTCACAGAGACTGCCAAGAAGGACATCACTCTTTACTCCCTTGCGTGCGTGCGTGCGTGCGTGCGTGCGTGCGTGCGTGCGTGCGGCATGTGAGATGCTCACAGAGAGTGCAGAGGACATCACTCTCTTTACTCCCTTGCGTGCGTGCGTGCGTGCGTGCGTGCGTGCGTGCGTGCGTGCGTGCGTGCGGCATGTGAGATGCTCACAGAGAGTGCAGACAAGGACGTCACTCTCTTTACTCCCTTATGACAGGGTCTCTCACTCAAACAGGAGCTGGGTTGCCAGCCTGCAAGTCCCCAAAGTCCCCTGTTACTGCTTACCTACATTTCTGGAATTCCTGGTGGACCGTGTCTGGCTTTTTATATGATTTCTGGGGATCTGAACTCAGGTCCTTATACTTGCTCTCTTACCTAGCCAGTCCCTAATATTTTTCTCCTAACAATCATTTGATATTTAAAATTAATCAAGATGTTAGGAAAAGGAAAATTGAATGCAAATAAAAGTAACTTACTAAACTCATACTGTACGAGACCCTTTATCACTTGCAATAACTGGAGAAACAACAGTAGCCACGGAGTGCTTTGTGTGAATAGTAACATCCGTCAACCTTTATTTATTCAGAATACACTAACAAGAGCAACGGTTTGCTATTCCTCATCAAACCATAGTAAAGCATTTCAAAGCTGTCTTACCAAAGCCCAAAACTGAACCTGCCCCATGGTATGGATTATACTAGCCCCAAGGGTGTTGTATATTGATGCTATAATTACATCTTAATCACAGAATTACCAAAATCGATTTCCATTCTCCACTGTCCTGGACTATGCTAAACTGCTGTTTTCATCTGTCATATGCCATTTTACTTGTACATAGATGTAAATTAAATTTTCATTGGCTCTTTCTAGAAAGTAGCTATCAACATATTGCTCAAAGGCTGTAAAACATACAAGATATTGACTTATTTCTAACTTAAGTCATTCAGAAGACTATGTGTAGCCCTCAGACAGAGCCGTAATAAATGTGCATATTTGCAAAGGAACTAAAGTAGCTACCAAATCACGCAGGACACTAAAGAGTATTTGAGGGAATGGAATTTATCTATCACTAAGTGCAATCAATACATAGAGTAAAAGCTGTTATTATGAATTCAAGTCAAAATTTATTAAGCTAAAGCTAGTCATGGGCTTCACTCCTCACACCTCTGCCCTTGGCAGCTCTGGACCTGAGTGAACTTGTTTTGACCTGCTCTCCCCTTGTACGCTATGCTTGGAGCTCATGGTTCCTGGAGGTTCACTTCCTCTCTACTAGGTTCACAGCAACATTACTATGTGAAAATGCGTGTCTCTATACAATGGGGTTTGGATTTAACTTATCTTTATAGAAAAGAGGCTTTCTTGCACCTAACAAATTATAGAACTCATAACTTTCTCTCAGCCCATTTGATCTTTCACTTCCAGCTTTTGGTATTCATGTATTAAAATTTATTTATTCAACCAAATTTTAGCACACCAACTCAACGCTAGACCCTGGAAAGGGACTCAGGCCCATGAGCATCACAGATGATAGAATAATAAACCAGAGTAGAATATGATGCCTGAAGTGACAGAGGGATATACAAAGTAAGTTTTTAAAAATTAATGTTTATTTTTAAAGATTATTTGAACATGTGTCTATGTGCACTTGCCCACAGAAGCCAGAGGAATCAGATCCTCTGAAACCAGAGTCACAGGCAGTTATTAGTTGCCTGATATGGATTCAGGGAAGCAAATTCAAGGAATCTAGAAGAACAACCATGCTCTCAACTGCTGAGCCACCTCTCCAGCCAATGCCTCTACAGAACAATTTTTAAATTTCTCTGTCAAAAGTAAAAATTTTGTGGAAGGGAAGATATTTTAATAAACAAGGATTCACACATTCAAGTATAGAATAGACACGTATTTCAAGACACAGAGGTGGGAGAGGAGAGGCAGAGGCATGAGACAGAGAGAAAGACAGAGACTGGGGGCAGGACATGCACAGACAGACAGCATTAAAGGATGACACTAAAGATCAGGTCAACCACAGCACCTTGCCTAAGAAAGTCAACTTTAACAATATATTAAAGTACTTTGTTCTGGAAATTACTCCATTAATATTTGCTGCTCATCTAATTGTACCAAGAGCCCCAACTATCACCATTGCTCCAGTTTAGCTGGGAGTAATTCTAGAGCACAGCACAATTTCACTAGAATGGAGGGAGGGAGGGAGTGAGTGAGTGAGTGAGTGAGTATGCAGATGTATATTCCAGTGCAAACCCATGTGTCTGTAAAATAAATATGGGAAAATAGCTTTAAACAAGTTAACAACTTCTTGGATTTTTGCAGAATCCAAGACACCATTACAATATTCTCCTCCAGTTACCCTGCTTATTAAGTTTACCTGCAGACATTCAGAGACTATGTAGAATGAATAAAGCTTACATATCAGAAAATGATAAGCCTGATGCATCTAGCCATGAGATGACTACCAACAGTCCATTCTACACAGAGAAAAGTAAGCTACTTTTCATTTTTAGCTCACGCATGGTCTGAGAAACTACATGGGCATAGAGACAAAACAAAAGCTATAAATAATTGAAAAAAATGTCAGATTTTCTTATTACATATTAACTATTGTTGACTAAGAAAAAGCATGGAAATCAACCAATAATACGAACACTAACAGGAATTCAGTAATGCAATATCAATATTTAAACTAGTGCATAATACAAAGCATCAATAGCTCTCAAAAAAGAGAACAAAAGTGAGAACCTGTAAAACGCCCCATGATCACTGCTTACAATACTGATGCATTGCCTTTCTGTAAAATACAGAAAGCCCTACGTATAACGCCATTCTACTTTCCTGAATGAAAATCCTTAATACTGTAAAGACTACCATTGCTCCAAAACTGCTGTAAATGTCAGTTTCCAGTCATTTGTAAATTCAGAGCAATTAATGTCAAATTCCTATCATTCTCATGAAAATTAAGAGGCTGAAAAAGCACAACCATGATAAAACAATAACTTACATCGAAATGTCACTAATTAAAGCAATGTAGTTTGGTCCTTGATATATCGACAATTTTCCATTCAGATTCATTCCTTTTCTATTCAAATGAGTCACAGTGGAGCATTTAATAAATAGTATGGAAGGAATTGGATGTCCATCTAAATATAACTAGCTTACATCATTAACAAAAATAGAATTTTGACTAAGAAAAGGTAAATATTCATCTAATCCCTAGAAGGAGTTTGGTTCAAGCACCTCCCATATCAATGCATATGAAATCTGTAGATGTACAATGTCATCATATAAAACTTCTTAGTAATTGTATATAGTCTACACATACCTTCACGCATCTCTATATTAGTTATAATCCAAAAGAACACAAAAGCTATATAGATAGCTGGTACTTAGTGAAGAGGGAAAGGCCACAGTGCAGACACATTTTTCTGAATCTTCTCAGTGTGCAGTATCTGAACTGGTATCAACCATGCAGATAAAGAAGACTGACTAATATATACTGTAATAATGCTGAATGCAAGATCGCATGATGTTTAACTATTGGTCCAGAGAAGTTTACAAATGCTGCAAGTAGTATTGAAGACGTATAAATTGGTTGATTAAGAATCAATGTCAAGAGGCTGGGGATAGTGGCAGAAGCCTTGACTAGCAACTATGAGACCCTTGGATCAATCTCAACACTGCACAGAAATAAACAAGAAAAGCTACTGAGCCTAGCATGGTGAGACCTGTCTGTAATTGCAACACTTGAGGCTGAGCCAAAGAATCCCTGTAAAAGACCTTATTAGGGTTACTTAGTGAAACTGTCCCCCAAAAAGGAAAGAATCCCTCCCTGACAATGAAATGCTATTATCACATAATGAAGGTCCAAGAAAAATTAGGGATTAAACTAAAATATTATGGTAAAATCTATAATGAACTTTCAAACTCAAAGAATTGGAAACTAATTGAAAATTTAATGAAGACAACTTTCGTTAAAAATTAGACAATGCAAGTTACAGCCAGGAGGAATCGTGTCTCCTTCTACAGCAATATCTGTTTGGTAACTATAAGAAAGGAGGAAAAATACATCAACTTGGTCATGAGAGCTCACTCCTACAACCCAGCACTTGGGCAGCTGAGGCGGGAGGGACTGTCCCAGGGTTTTAAGGTCAACTTGGACTACACAGAGAATCACATTTAAGATTATGCTACAGATTAAAATTACAGCTACTATTTAAAATACAAATAACAAAAACAACACAATGATACAACAAACACAATGATAGAATATTCACCTAAATATATAAGGGCCTTAGTCTTATCCTCAACATATTCTCTGTCTCTCTGTCTCTCTCTCTCTCTCTCTCTGTCTCTCTCTCTCTCACACATACACACACACATGCACACACACACAAACACTAACAATCTGAAAACATAAATGGAAATGCCTCTGAGCTAATAGTATAAAAAAAGATTCATAGAAAGACCTACAACTGTGTAGGAAAACGGTAGAAGGAAGTTCATTCATTAAGTCACTACTCATAACAGCTTAAAGTGATCAACTACCTGAATATTCTCCAACAGAGAAAATTGCTTAGCAAACAGTGACATATCAAGATAGGTA